CTTCCAACCGGACCCTATTTCCTGCAGCGGCTGGGCCTCTCCCCCTTGAACAAAACAGACACGAAACCACCGTCTGCTTCCCTCCGCTTTCTCAGTGACCTTGAAAAAGATAATCCCCAAATATTTGTGGGACGCTGTTATTTGGAACCACCTGCTCATGGGTTCCCCAACCAGCAAAATGAGAGCAGCAGATCTTCGCCCTTAGATTACAAGGATTCAGATGAGACTGAGTAGGCTGGAGAAACCAAAGCACTCTGGTGCGCTGAGTAGACGCAGCCCATAATGCGGTCTTCTTCTAGGATGTGCATTACCATTTTGTTTTTCTCTCCGCCGCCCCCCGCCCCCAACTGCATACTTTTCCCCAGCTAGGACTTTTTCCCTCCATTCCTCTCCTTCTCTCACAGCTCCAAATTCTGGCTGTTCTCCGGACTGCTCAAGGCCACCTATGCAGATTTCTTCAGGATCATTCTTGCCTCAGGATTTTCTAAGTCTGCTCTGCACCTTGTAGGCTGAGACCCTATATGGTTTTCACCTTTGCCAGGGTCATCGTCATCAGTAGGTGTTCGTAAATACCTGTAGCTATGAAGGGCAGTGCACTAAATATTGAGAATATAAACAGCCTTAATAAAGAATCTGCTGTTGGGATGCCTGGGTGGTTCCATCGGTTAAGCATCTGATTTCAGCTCAGGTTATGATCCCGGGGTCCTAGGATTGAGCCCCGCATTGGGCTCCCTGCTCAGCAGGGAGTCTGCTTTTCCATCTCCCCCTGCTCATGTGCTCGCTCGCTCTCGCTCTCTCTCTCAAATAAATAAATAAAATCTTTTAAAAAATTAAAGCATCTGCTGTCTTCCAGAGATGCTAAATTAAGTTGAAGACATGAGGCACCAGAATTGCCACACTGGGGAGGTCGATAGCAGCAGGGGTGGGTGTGTGTGTCCAGTGTCTCGGGCTGGCATGGAGTGGCTTTCTCCCCCTGGGGTCTATGTGCTCACAGACACACACCACTTCTGAAGTTTGGCCTTGACTCTGTCTACACCTCAGGCACCATTTTTGGCATGGACTGAAACTTCCCAAGTGCACCCCTCAAAATATGCAGATATTATTCTGTGAAAAATAAAAACACAATTTCACAAATTTATCGACATATATCTTCATAATCTGTCAGTTGCTTTCATCAAATGATACAGAAATCGCAACTAAAACCCCATGCCATTTTGATGTTAAGGAGGCTCTGTTCTAGAGAAATGTTGTGATCCGTTAACATAACCACCTCTCCGGGAATGCAGGTTCGATTGGTCCCTGCTGGGACTTGGGCACTTGGTTAAGCTTCTCACGTGCTTCCTGAGTGTGGCTGGGAGAGGACCACTGGTCTCAGCCTTGTGTCCTTAAGCCCAGAGCGTCCAGAGGCTTCTCAGAAGACGTGGTTTTGAGCTGTGTTTTCAAGAGAGCAAAGCATACGAGGTAGGGTGTACGATGTGGCAGAGGCAAGGGGGCATGATTATAGGTTTTCCAGGAGCAGGGAGCATTAGACCCATTGCCAGGTGAGTGGGGGAAGAGTAGGGGCGGGGTCAGGTTGGAGGGTAAGGGGACAGCCCTGACTTTCAGGCTGTGCCAGTGCTTTGAATATTAGCTACAGCCCTACAGGGGACAGGTATGTGTGAGCATTGAGTCCAAATGGAAGCACACACCCGGTTTTTGCTGTGAAGGAGTTGAGGGCTTTACCGGATCTTACCGGAGCCAGAAATTCATGTCGTTGTGTGAAATGTTCCAGTTTTATCAGTGCTGGCTAACTTCAGTGTGCATGCACACACACACATGCACACATGCACGCATGCACATGTGCATACACATTTAACACTGTGCTGGACAGAAAGCTTCCCTGGGTGTCCTCACAGCCTGCGGGGCTGTCACTCTTGCATGGGGGGTAGGGTCAGGGTGCACCGTGCAGAGAAAGGTATGGGAAGATGCACAGCCCTCTGTGGTTGGTGCTCATCTCCTGCATTTGGAGTGAGGGAATCCCGAGAGGCAACAGGATCCACTGGCGGAGTCTAGATGGTAGGACGCTGCACGTGGGCAGATGTCAATGATGAGAGCTGGGGCAGGTGGCTAGCTGGGGAGATTGTTCATGTGGGAAAAGTTGCGGGGACTGGCAATTTCTTCCGCCTCCCTCCCCGCTTCTGCTCCCATGGTCGTGCCAGCCGAAAGAATAAATGCATCAGGAGCTGCTTCTGTTTGACTCAGAAGGAGTTCAAGCCAGGTTTATTAGTATCCAGAAATAAATAGAGAGCTCCCTGGACAAATGTATTCATTTCCCAAAAATGATAAAAATAAACACTTTTTTTCCCCAATGAAAACATCTTTGGGAGGTAACGTGAATAGCAAGTGGGCTGCTGGGGGCCTGAGCATCTAGCCCTAAACCCAAGATTGACTAGTGAAGGACTCTGTAACCTACTTCTCTGGGACTCGACTTCCCCATCTGTAAAATGGGGTGACATCCGTTCTTTATAACGGGCTGGAGAATTCAGTGCTTAAAATCATTCAGGTTATTGCTAGCTCTGCCAATTTCTAGTCTTATCAAGATGTGCCCATACTCCTTGCCTATAAATGATCGTACCTCCTCAGAGTGTCATTGGGAGGGTAGATGAGTTAATAATATAAAGCCCTTCCACCCACATGCTATATGCCGACTACTTCATTTTCATTTCTGTAAGTTAAAAAATTAGAAAGTATGTAAGGGGTAAGAATAAGGCACAAATGATAAAAAATATGACACAGATGTAAGGTTTTTACCAAGAAAAAAAGGAATTAATTTATGTCTATGTATCACAGTAGAGGAGGAGACTGGAATGTCGTTCTGATCCAAATCTTTGTGTTAACCGGTGACATGAATGGCAGGAGCTTGTGCCCAGCTCGGAATCCCATTTACTCTTTTCTCCCCAATTTTAAGCAACTGCTTTTGTTTCACAAGTAATTCATATATAGGTGATATTATAGAAAAAGTAGGAAATGCATAGAAGTGAAAATATCAAAATGTAATAATACACATAACCTGGAGATTCTTTCGTGTGTCTTTCTAGATTGTTTATGATCTATTGCTACAATGCCTAATCCTCTTAAAAACAGAATTTTCTAAAATAATATTTGTTTTCTAAAAGAAATCCTGAATCAAGTATTTTGGCACATCAAATCCTGTACTTTTAGAGTGTATCTAACTAGTACCAGTATAACATTGTTTTAAAGTACCATAGTTTATTGAAATTGTCTCTTATTGACCTGCGGTTCGATTATTTTATGTTTGTTTGCCATTGTAAATTATGTTGTATTGAGCACCTTTGAACCTCCCGTGGTGCAATAATTGGGGGATTATTTCTTTGGGACCAATTTCTAGAAATGGAATTACCGTGCCTGATACTTTGGGCCAGAGTGCCTCCAAGAAGATTGCTCTGCAGGAGGATTTAAGCTCGTTAGCTCTTTGTGGATCAGCAGAGCATGGCAGGAGGGGGGGGCAAGGTGGGCAGGAGAAGCCCCTGGGAGTCGGGCACGTCTGCTCTCCATCGCTGCTCCAACACCAATAACCATGGGCCTTCAGGGTTGCTACGAATCTCTTGGATGTGCAATTTTCTCAGCTGCCAAATAGTTGGAGCATTGAATGAGGTGAACTTCCTAAGGTTATTATTAGCAGAGGCCCTGGTGCTGAGTAAATACTAGCTATTATAAAATACCTAGGGTCTCTGTAAAATAAGGTCCTTATGTACACATAAATGTCTCTATATGTACATATATATATACACATACGTATGCATACATGTAGACAGACATACCTTTCTATAAAATAAAATACATATGTCAAGTAAGGCCATTTGCTTTCCTGAATAATCTGGAGGAGACAAGACTTTCTCAAAATGTTCATGTTCTTCCTCATATGGTTTCACTTATTTGTGGAACATAAGGAATAACATGGAGAACATTAGAAGAAGGAAGGGAAAATGAAGGGGGGGAAATCGGAGGGGGATACGAACCATGAGAGATGATGGACTCTGAAAAACAAACTGAGGGTTCTAGAGAGGAGGGGCGTGGGGGGATGGGTTAGCCTGGTGATGGGTATTAAGGAGGGCACGTTCTGCATGGAGCACTGGGTGTTATATGCAAACAATGAATCATGGAACACTGCATCAAAAACTAATGATGTACTGTATGGTGATTAATGTAACATAATAAAATAAAATTATAATAAAAATAAAATTAATTAAAAAATTTTTAAAAAATGCTCATGTTTCTCAGAGGGGATGACTTGCTGTCATATGTTTACAAATCTCCTGCAAAGTGAACTGAGAATTCAAAGCATAGCTGGGAATAAGGTGACAATATTATCACTCATGTCCCTTGCTGCCCAGCAGCCACCTGCATGCACAGTGGCCTGTGGGTGGGCGTTGGTCAGATGGGCTTTCTGGCTAATTTAGTACATCCTGATGCTGTCATAACACATCCCCAACATCATGGAGCTGTGGGTCCCAGATCCTCAGCTGGTCATGGTCATGGATTGAAGCTGGAGTGAGGCAGACCATTGGTGGAGTCCACGTAATTAGGTGGCCACTCAGTGGCTCAGAAAGGGATGGTCCACGCAAACTCTGCTGCACCAGCCCCTCCTTGATCTGTATAAATTATGACCATGCCACTCGCTGGTGGTAAACCCATTTTTCGGCTGATCCTTTCTTTTCAATCACGCTTCTTTTCAAGCACGCTTCTTTTCAAGCATGCTTCTTCTGTTTTTCTTAATTGTCCCCTTTCTGTTAGTATTGAGGAGTGTGCCAATTTGGGGGATTTTAAAAAGGGGTTATTGTACCTCAGAAGGCTGTTCTGAGGAGGGAGAAATACTTATAAGAATGGTTTGTCATGAGGGCAAGTCCTAGAAAGCTGCTGGATGCTCATGGGTGATGGTATTAAGGTCATAGTTGGAAGTTGTCACCTCATTCAGTCCTTCTGTGCTGTCATTGTTTAAGGAGGAAGATGAAGGCTCGTGCCCCCCCTCCTCCTGGAAAGCCCACCACGCCAAATATGCACAGCGGACAGAAGCTTCCCCGGGATGTGTCCCCCAGCCCTCCACAGAACCTGCTGCACATGAAGGAGACCTTGAGGAACAGCATGGTGGCGGTCACCGTGGTTCTGCCCAGCGGGCTGGAGAAGAAGAGCGTGGTCAATGGCAGGTAAGGGTCCGGGCACCTCTGGGAGGGGTCACTGCCATCCATTCTCAGGTCCAAGGAGAACTGAAAAGTGGATCGTGCTGCGTTGCGCTTGCTCCCTTGTCAGGTCGGACCTGGGGGCCTCAGGGGTACAGAGCTGGGTCTAGGTGACAATCCAAAGTGGCTCACCTGGATGACCATTGGCTAAGTGGCCCCTCCCCAGCTCGCCATCATCCCGAGGGAGCAGGGACTGCAGAGCTCAGGCCCGGTAGAGGGTGAGCTCGGAGGAAGGGCGGGGGTCACAGGCCCGTGTGCATCTCCAAGTAGGTGGCCAGCTCCAGAGCCCACGCCAGCATCCTTGGTGCCAAAGTGATGCAGCCGGGGCAGCCTCCCAAGTTGACCCTTCCAGTGTCCACTGACAGGCTGGCCCACAGAGGTGTAGACACAGTCAGCAATCAATTTTCCAAATGCAGCTTTCAGTGCACGTTTACACTGACGGCTAAACCCCAACCCAACCAGTCTCCAGCCCCGAGATGCCCACCGGAATCCTTTCTCAGATCTGCACTGCCCGGGAATGTGCCTGAGGTTAAGGTCACGTGCCCCTTCCTCTTCCCACGTCAGTCACACCGGAAACATTGGCAAAGCCTCCTGCGATCATAGTATTAAGAATTTTATTACCAATAGAATTTCTGATTTTTTTTCAAGATACAGCATCACGTTGTTTGATCGATTTTGTGCTACGACTGTTGTTCCTGATAACTTGATCTATAGGAACACATTTTCACAGAGTCACAAGAAACAAAACATTAAATCTCAGTGCTTATACAGTTTTTAGGATAGAGCATGATGGAGTGACCAACTATGGAAACGTTCCAGCATAAAAATATGTCTAATTCTGACGCAGGAGTGAATAGAAGTCATATTTCTCACAAAACGAGAATAAGAGATGATAGGACATATTTCACTTGTAAAAAGCAGTTTGCTCCAATATTTTTTAAAATGGGTAGTGGTGGGGGCGCCTGGGTGGCTCAGTTGGTTAAGCGACTGCCTTCAGCTCAGGTCATGATCCTGGAGTCCCGGGATCGAGTCCCACATCGGGCTCCCTGCTCAGCAGGGAGTCTGCTTCTCCCTCTGACCCTCTTCCCTCTCGTGCTTTCTATCTCTCATTCTCTCTCTCTCAAATAAATCAATAAAATCTTTAAAAAAATAAAATAAAATAAAATAAAATAAAATGGGTAGTGGTGGAAATCACATCACCATGGGTGTTTTTATTCTGGTGGTTGCACTGAAGAGAGTGATGGAACTCTTTTGTTTTAAAATATCAGGATTTGGATTCTCCCTGAAATTCTATGCTTTGCATCTGTTTAAACTCTATCATGAAAATTCTAGGTGGCAACTTAATGCACAAAGGAGTGCACACATCTTACAGATCATTCCACGGGATGCATGAACAAGGGGAGGAAGCTTGCTGCAGGCCTCTCTACACAGCTGGGGGCGGAGCTGATGAGTTGTGGGGTACGGCATCTCCTCCCGTGCCAGATGGTGCCAACCCATTTCCCAGGGTGGAGCCACCCACCCACCCAGTGTGGGGCTTGCCCCTTGGGGGGGCCTCCTGTAGCTGGGGTCCCAGCCGCAGGGCTCCCATGGAGGCAGTTGAACTTGGTCTACGCTGGATCCACGGGGGAGGCACCGCAGCCTGTCGTGATGTGCAAGTGATGAGAGTCTCTGGTCTCTTTGTTTTACAGAGTAGCCCTTGTTCTAAGTACATTTTTTCACTGAACTTTGTCTTGAGAAGCATGCCATGTTACTATAGGTTTACAAACTACTTTAATACGTGTGTGAAGTTTGATCAGTGAATGTATTATGGTTTAGTCACCATTCCTGTATTTTCAACCCGATTTTTAAAAATATCTTATTTATTTGAGAGAGAGCGCATGCGCACAAGAAGGGGGCGAGGCAGAGGCAGAGGGAGAAGCAGGCTCCCCACCGAGCAGGGAGCCCGACGCGGGACTCGATCCCAGGACTCTGGGATCACGACGTGAGCCGAAGGCAGACGTTTAACCGACTGAGCCACCCAGGGGCCCCCTACCCAATTTAGTTATACTTAAAAATACTATTTATTGAGGTCTATGAGGACACATGTTAACTGTGTCCTACTCGACAAGTCTGTAGCTCAGTGCACACCCAAGAAACCATTGCCACTATCAAGCTAGTTACATATTTTGTAGAAAAATTGCCTGGTGGGTCCTGTCTTAACACACTGATACCTGGGTCCGGTTCTCCAAATGCATGCAGAGAGATAGAATACCTGCCTGACAAGTACAGGTTTGAAATGGTTTGAAAACCATTTCCAAACTGAATGCTTTCTTAAATTATATCTTTTTAAAATTCTTTTCTTTACAAAGTAGAAGCTACCACTTTGTAGCATGGCAATGTAGCAATGAGAAAACATGCAGCCTTAAAGATCAAGCATTAAAAAACTTCCCTCTTCTCCAGCAGTAAATTAGAATCCCTCTCCCAAGCTTCCTGCAGGATTAAGTGAGTCAGAGCAGTAGCCCATGTGCTTGCTTAACTGGGACCTTGGCATCTTGGCTGGTGCTGATTCAGCAGCTGCTTGCCTGGGGATTTGGTTTTATGTGTCATGCTCTTTAATATCAGAGCGGGCTGAAGTCCAGTTCCCAACCCTTGCTTAAAATAGATCTACTAATTGTTAATAAATGTGGTTTCTCTCTTGTTTTATTAGAGAACATGCCCAGCTTTTAATGGAAGAGCAAGCAGTTGATAATTTATAATCAGCCCCTTACCCATGCTTTTTCCTGATATGAAAGATTGTCCGAGAGGAGACATTAGGGATTGCAGTCTGATGATTGCATTCTACATATGACTGATTTTTTTTTTCTTTTTTAAAGCTTCCTTTGGATTCGGAAACTTAAATAAAAGCCGCAGTCTGTTCTTACAGAGATTAGGATATGAGAATCCGTGTTCTGGGTCATTCTTTTTTTTTTTTTTTAAAGATTTATGTATTTACCTTAGAGAGAGAGAGCAAGGGGAGGGGCAGAGGGAGGGAGAGAGAGAATCTCAGACTCCCCACCAAGCATGGAGCCCAACACAGAGCTTGATCTCAGGATCCTGAGCCAAAATCAAGAGTCTGATTGAGCCACCCAAGGCGCCCCCATATTCTGGGCCATTCATAAGGGAAATGCTCTGGCATATGATTAGGAATGGTGTTATCAGCACTGCATACGGATGGTGGGAGGAGGCCACCAATTCCATCACATTAATTGGGGCACACTTAAAGAGAAGATCTTTGAAAAGACAATGCCCTTAGGGACTCCTGGGTGGCTCAGTCAGTTAAGTGGCTGCCTTCTGCTCAGGTCATGATCGCAGGGTTCTGGGATCAAGCCCCATATCGGGCTCCCTGCTCTGCAAGGAGTCTGCTTCTCCCTCTACCTCTGTTTCTCCCCACACTTGTGCTCTCGCTCTGTCTCTCTCAAATGAATAAATAAAAAATCTTAAAAAAAAAAAAGAGAGAGATTGACCATGCCCTTAGGCAAAAGAGAGCTTCATAAACCGTGTCAATCTCTAGAGTGTTGGGGCTGTCTTGATGCGGTAGTCAGTTCCATGTTAGTACACATACCCAAGGGGCCCGGGGCAGGAAAAGGCAAACATTCCCTTTGCAGAATATAGGAAATCTCCCTCGGTGTTCATTCCTGTGATTCTTCAAGACAGACACACTTACGACTGTGCAGGATTTGTTTAGGTCTCAATGCTTATAAAATAGCGCAGGCTCTCATAACATGGGTATTGGGTCTGCACATTCCTTCTGGAGAGAGCTCACCTGCTCCAGGTTGGAGCGGAGGGAGGCTGTGAGTGCCCATCAGCTCTGGGGGTGTCCTTCATCCGACCTCCCCCTAGAGGTGTTCGCAAAGCCTCTTGCTCATCATGGCTCCCGAGCTGAACGGAGCCTGCTCTTCTCTGGCATTCAGCGAGTTAAGGAGTTGATGTTAGAAAAGGCATATTTGGTGCTGGGGAGTCAGCCAGCAGAAGACAGTTCTCTAAATAACTGGCTGACAGGTTGCTTTGGTTTAATTTGATTTACATTTTTGTTTGAAGATTATCTTTTTTTAGAAGACTTCATTTTTTTTAGAGCAGTCTCAGTGTCCTAGCAAAAATGAGAGGAAAGTACAGAGATTTCCCACATACCTTCCCCCCCAATTCACAATCTCCCCATTATCAACATCCCTGGCAGAGAGGGTGCCCATTACAATCAGTGAAACTGCACAGACATATCATCACCACCTGGAGCCCATCAGTGACATCAGCTCCACTCTTTGTGTTTTATGTCTGTGGGTTTGGACATACATATAATGATATGTGTCCACCATGGTAGTACCTCACAGAGGAGTTTCACTGCCCTGAAATCCTCTCAGAAAAAAATGCCCAGGACATGCAGCCCGCTCTGGTCACTGTGGCTAGAGTGGATCTCATTGAACCATATTTCCCATCAGCCTGGGGAACGTGTTTGATCATCCAGGTCCTAGCTCCCTGCTTTTAGTGACTGACTCCCTGAAATGCTTCTGCCCTGTGAAGGCTTCATTCCCTTGATTGTTTGGGTGAAACCTAAGAGCAGCTGAAAGCTGACAGTGACAGAATGTCTGTCACGTGCAGACTATGATCATCAGACTCCAGGTACTACTGGATTTCCTTCCCAAGAACCTTTGCTGTGAGCAAATAGCATGGTGATGGGGCAACCACAGGTTATCACCTGTGCGCTGCTCCCATGAAAAGGTGTGTTCTTTGCTAAACCCACTATTTAATAGCTCACAGCAGGTGCCATTCCTGGTTGGGATTTGGTGTGATACCCATCATAGAGAGGGGAACTCTCATTTTGTGGGATCCTAATATACAAGAAAGAAAGAAAAAGAAAGAAAGAAGAAAGAAAGAAAGAAAGAAAGAAAGAAAGAAAGAAAGAAAGAAAGAAAGAAAGAAAGAGAAAGAAAAGAAAAAGGAAGGAAGGAAGGAAG